TGGACCCGGAGTTATTCTGAAAACATTTAGGGCAAGAGCTTTCTGGGTGAATATCACAAATCTGGGTGGTTATGTTGCTAAGGGCGCTAAGGCCTCTCGTATCCAAAACCCCTGTTTCAGGTACGCTCATAAGTGGCTAGCCTATTCTTTGTTCAACATAGGGGATAGTACGGGGGTGGCTTCGAAGGCATAACTTTATTTTTTGTATGCCACGGCCAATTTGATTCCTGTGAATGTGGCCGCTTTTGTTGCCAATCATTTAGGTAAAGTGGATCGAGAAACATCTGGTGGTATTTCAGTGGGAGGCATGATTACCCAGATAGCCAACCATTTTGGTTATAACCCTGTTGCACTTAATGAGACACCCATTGCAGGTATGACTAAGTTGGATATGAATGCCCTTGTCAACCAAGGTATGATTCAGAAGGAGAGCAATTATTATGTTGTAATATGTCAGAAAATGGTTATTCTTACACTTATTGACTCTGCAAGAATTACCATTTTTGAACATGATAATTGGTGGTATGTGAGTGATGTCCAGGATGATCAGGACGAATATGATGTTGAGAACCAGGCTGAAGAGGACTAAATGGAGGAAGACACTCAGGAGAAAGAACGTGTGGGTAATCCCCCAGAGATGCCTACCCAAGCATATGGAAGGGTGTCATCTATGACCCAAGAATAGTGGTTGTGGATGCAAACGTAGTTTGGTGACCTCTATGTTGAGAAAATACGTCAAGAAGTAGAACAGGTCCGTCAAGGAGGTGAGCAGACACAGAAGGGAGTAATGTTGAATGAAATGCACCAGATGATACAACAGTTAATGTTGTGGTTTCCTCCTCCGCAGTAAAGCACTATGATTTTACCCTCGCTAACGTGGATTTAAACATTGCGGTCAATGTTTGGTTCACGTGTGGAGGAGTTTTCTTTTGTTATTTGCTTTCAGTTTTTGTTTCTAATTATTTGAGTTTTATTTTTCATTCATGTTAATTTGCTTTGTGTTGTTTTGTTTACCATGTGTTATAGATTTATTTTGATTTATCGGATGATTGATGAACTAGTAGTGAGAGGATGAAATATGCAACCCATACTTGCTCTCCAAGAAACCCCCAAAAGTTGGTACTGCTTAGGTGAAGGATTAGACGCGACTTTTCGAAACTGGACTAATACGGGAGTACTGTGCACCTGAGACTGAGCGAAGCTACATTACACTAGAGGTATTTTGGAACTTGTAAGATATAACAAACATGGTGAGGATCATAAAAAACTAAACACAATATCATCATGAGAGTTCTTCAGGTATGTAATTGTCACTCTTAGTTTGTGTAAGTATTTATTGGAATTTCTATGCACACGTATACACACTGGGTACTTGTTTGTTTTTAACCCCAAGCCCTTTCCAATAAACCATGTCATGTTATTCTTCGTTAACCCCACTCGAGCCTTGTACCATTTTATTTGTTTGATTGTTAACCGCATAATTTAACCATGAGCCCAAACACTCCCCCATCCAGCTTAGTTAAGTGTTTTTTATTTCTGATCTGTGAAAAAATTTAAGTTTGGAGTTGGGACACCGAAAATAGTTTTAAAAAATAGGTAAGTGCAGTAAAAAGAAAAGAAAACTTGAAGAAAAAAATATGCTGAGAAAAAAAAGAGAAAAGAAGTGAAAAGTAGAATAAAGCACTTACCTAGAGAAGGATTTAGTTTGAAAAAAAAGCTTTGAAAGAAAAGAAATGCTCAAAGAAATACTTGAATAGGAAATAAAGAATCCTAAGAGAATGGTTTCCGATACTCGTGATTGTGAACAATATAAATAACACCGTGATGAAAATAGAAACAATGACTCTGATCCAAAAACCACTTGTTTTCCTTTTTGTTTGTTTATCCCACCTTGTCCCTAAGCCTCGTTACAACCGTAAAAGCTCTCAAAAAGTGTGTGTAGTGTGTGTATGAGATGAAGATAAATGTTATTCAAGCTTATGAGTTGACTTTGCATATTTTAATTATTGAGTGTAAATACTTTAACCCGAGAGATTTGGTGAGAGTGTGAAAACCTGACAGGTAAAAAGATACCTCGATGTGGAAGTGTGGCGGAACATCAAAAGTCGAGGAAGAAGGAAACGTTGAAAGGAAAGTGAAAAGAAATTCGTGAAAGATCGAAATAGTATTGTGGTAAGAATTGTGAACAGTCCGGGGGTGACCTTTATGTTGTCTCGAGCATCACTTGAGGACAAGCAATGAGATAAGTTTAGGGTTGTGATTGGTCACCAATTCTACTCGGTTTTCATCAGTTATTCGGTAAAAATACATCAAATTGGTAACACTTTAATTTATCTTTTTATCGTTTTGTTTAAGATATTTCATATTTCACAACTTTATCTTTGCATGGTTTTAATTTGAATTTTATGTCAATTAGATGCTTTTTATGTCTTGGTTTGGTAGTTGTTGGTGATTTCAGGTGCAAAGTGAAAATTTCCAAAGAATTGGTGCAAAGACAAAAGAAATCTGGAAGCTACAGGGATCCTGACACGATCACACATATCACCTGACACAGGCCGTATATGGAGAAGAGAAAAAAGTTGAAATTGGGAGCACGAGACAGACGTTGACACGGGTGCTCGTGTCACACGACACGACCCGTGTCAAACCAACTACACCAGAGACGTGAGAAAGCAAAGTCATAGACACTGACACTGATGTCTGTCACATGACACGGCCCGTGTCAAAATATTTGCATGAACGCGTGACTTGAAGCAAGGGACAGAGGCTGACACAGATGCCCATATCCAGTGACACGGTCCGTGTCGGCCAATGTGTTAGGAATTCTAATTTTTGGAATTTTAAGTGTCTTGGATCATTAAGGGTACTTTGGACATTTTTATATTACTGATGGATAATATAATACTATTAAAACTGTTTGTGAGAAGAGGAATGTGACTTTTTGATCATACGAAAGAAATGCAGAAGAAATAATAAAGCTCTCAAGAGTTTTGGAGAACGGAGATCTTCAAGAGCAATTGTGATTGAAGATCAAAGCAATCATCTTTTCTTGTAATGTCTAATTCTATTATTGCTTTCCTTTTGAATACTATGAGAAGTTAAACCCCTCAAATACTAGAAGGTGTCTCTGATTTGTCATTGTAAGAATGTTGATCTCTTTGTTTTCATCGGCACAATAGTTCTTTTGCATCAATTTAATTGTTCAGAAATTGTTATTGTTTTCCCTATCGGACCAATAAGGGTATGTTTTTCTTAACACAATAGAGCTGGACAGTCGTGTTAAGATTTTCTATACAATTATATTATAGAAGATTTCACCTAGGACTAGAGTTATCCCATAATAACCGAAAAATTCTTGATAATCAAATGTTTGACTTCATCACTAATTTTAATGGACATTGAAATTAGGATTGAAGGTTAAAGATTTTTCATTAAGAACTTAGGAAAAGATAATCTTAACTAGTAGTTGATGTTGATAACCTTGTTGAAAAGATCAAGAGTCAACGTTATCATATGACAAATCACACACTTATCCCTAGCACGTTGTACTCACACTAGTAAAAAGTCTTATCTTACATTCTACTATTTTAAATTACTTGCAAGGAGTTATTCCTACCAAAACACAATTGATAGCTTTTGTTTAATTGAACCATAATTTTAACTCAGTATTGTAACGCAGTCCTCGAGATCGATATCTTGAAAATTTTCTATTATTACTAGATCGACGAAAATAGTACACTTGTTATTTTTCCGATCAGTCCTTTAACAAAGTCTTGCATATTTCTAAGGCCCATGTAACGTTGACCTCTTTTTCGGATTTCAAAAATGTAAATCCCACTGAAAAATCTTCTTTGTATAAGTAACACCAACAATTTCAAGAAGCGAAAGCCTATACTTGTTAGTCTTATACGTTGAATTGATAACGAGTACAGTGGAAATGTGTTGAACCACTTAATACTTTTGGAATACTTTTGGAATGAGTCTAGAATATATCACGAAGTGACTTTATCCTCACAAACTGTGTACCTAGAAACGTGGTGATTTTCATCTAAAAGTTTTAAAAATTGTTGTATTTGAGATCTCGGGCTCCTTACCGCCATGTTGTTTCGATAACACACATTGTATACTGGCTTGATTTTTGAAACACTTTCTGGTTGTTTCTATTTCAAATCTGCAAGTATGATCTTGCATGATTTTCGACGTCACTCTGATTAAAAATAATTTTCTTCTACTCCATTTAACCGACTAACTCTGTTTGCAAGGCATTGTTATGTATTTCAGAAATCACACTAAATTTCCACATTTCATCCACCTTTCAATATTCACGTAATTTAACCAGACAATAACATTTTCTCATTTTGATGCCATCGTCAGTAATAAGAATCATCATTTTCACACCTCAGAGAAAAACTTGGTAATCACACATTACAACACACCAAAAATACATGCAATCCTTAATATTACCTCAATAAAAAACTCATTTATATCAAAATTCCAATACCTAGTTTGAACTCCCAAAAATCTTCACCTTCTAGTGGTTGAGAAAAATAAATAACATCTCAACCCCAAAATCCACAAATCATTTGATATGTGCGCTTACATGTATCGTTCCTACGCTTTCACTTAGTTAAAAACAACAAATGATGAAAATCAATTACTATCATTTGCCAACAAAACAATAAGCAAGTTAAATCAAAAAGTTGATCACTAGATTGCATACAAATTCCCTTCTTGTGTGTCATTGTTATTAAGCGTAAAATTCCTCTCAGAAATGCTGAGAAGGATTAAAAAATGTATAGAATCTATTGCTCCATGAAAATTTGGACAATATTATGCTTACATCACAATTTTTTAAACCAAAGCCTAACAAAATCAGTAAGTAAAACCTCTTTATTTGTGAGGCTGTGGTGGAAACTTGGGGGGAAATTATTTTTGGTAACATCAAGTGTTACCAAAGAACAAACCACGACATAAAAAATTTCAGACCTAAATTGGTTATTTTAGGCAGCTGCGGCCAAAGGCACAGATCTGTGGCATGCTCTCTTTGCAGCACGAACGATATCTTCAACCTGTACATCAATGTACACGCAAGCAATCAGATTTACATGAGCCATACACATGTATTGAAACGTCAAAAGTATTATTTTAAGAAATATTACATGTGGGACAGCCAATCTCTCGAGATTAGCTGCATAAGGCATGGGAACATCAGCTCCAGCAATTCTCTCAACGGGTGCATCGAGATAACCAAAACTTTCCTCAATAACAGAAGTACTGCACAATAGAAGTATGAGCTTAGACAACTTCCGAGTGTTAACCAGCAAGATATAGCAAAACTATTGTTAAGAGATAAACCAGATTTCAGCGCCAACACCATGCTGAGGAAACCCTTCTTCAACTGTCACCAATCTGTTGGTTTTCCTTACGGAAGCATTGATGGTGGGTCGATCAAGTGGCCTGATTGACCGTAAATTAATAACCTGTGCGGATAAAGACCGACACTCATTGTTAGTCTTAACCAAAAAGAAGATGCATAAAGTGCAGAAATTCATCTCAAGTTATTTCAAAGCCTACCTCGGCACTGATTCCTTCCTTTTCAAGTATCTCAGCCGCCTAAACAAAGTAAAAGAAAAAGTTACTTACAAATGTTTGCTTGTTTGGGAGGAGAGGAAGAGGTTAGAGATTCTGACATTTCTTCAAATATATAAAACAGGTAATTAACAATTAAGCGAAAATAATTATTGTACTCATTTCTTCTTTTATTATTCATTCAACACTTTAATGCAAGATAAACCTATATCATTTCACATACTACTAGGTAAATGATAATTAAATTTTAGAACAAACAACGAATATCTAGATTACAAAATGGTCTCGGGGTGTAAACAAACCTTTAGTGCAAAGCCAACCATTTTAGAGAAGGCTGTAATAGTCACATCTTTTCCTTCTCTCTCAATCTGTTAAGGGAAAAGCATGAATTTGATAAGAATGCAAAATTTCAGGCTGTGTGACGCCAACAAATGCACGAAAAGTGTAGTCAAATACTACAAATAATTAAGTACCTTTGCTTTTCCAATGGGAAGGCAAAAACTGGAATCAAGAACTTCGGCAGAAACAGGGAATGACTCACCATATCTAGAGCATATAACTCATCAAATTAAATATCGTTTAAAATGAGAAATAATGTTGGGAATTGTCAAGCTTCAACAGCTCATTTATAATTATTGATCAAGCAGCATAACTTACAACAACTCATTTTCAAGGAAAACTACAGGATCAGGGTCCCTAATAGCCGCTTTAAGTAAACCACGGGCATCTTCAGCTGAATATGGTGCCAAAACTTTCAACCCCGGGCATGAGCCGTACCAAGATGCATAACACTGCATAAAAGCAAAGATGTAGGGCACACAAATGAGAGGACAAACACTAAAGTATATGTGCTCAATAGGTCATAAACAAAGTACTACGTTGGGTATTGCAAACAAATAGTTAACGGAAGTTTCACGTAGAATAAAATGCCAGGAGAAACATACATGAGAGTGCTGAGCACCAACTCCAGCAGCAGCACCATTGGGTCCTCTAAAGACAATAGGTACAGATATTTGTCCAGCAGACATGTAATTTGATTTTGCAGCAGAATTAATGATGTGATCTATTGCCTGCAACACAAATCAAGATGACATCATGATGAAGTGGGATAAATTAGATAGGGAAAAGCTAGTAAGCCAAGATGATGAAGGATGTTTAGATTAGTCTTCGGAAAATTGCTATTGAATGAATTTGACTCTAAATAATTGATTTTAATCAGAAACGTTTTCCAGTGAATGTAATAATGTTACATGAAAAATGATTTTAACATAAATATTATTTATTGATAAAAATCACTTTTAGGTGGGTGGTTATGAATATGGGTAAGCAGAGGAAGAAATGCAAACATAAGGCATGCAGACATAAGGTATTTCACACAAAAAAAAAATATATCCAAGACTACTACTGGAATATCAAAATTCAAAACAACAAGTGTCGACAAGAAAAAACAATTTCGGCAAAAAACCTACCAACTAACAAAACCTTACTGATTCATATTGATTCCATGTTATTTTCAAACTAAATAAACGCTACATAGTTGAGTCTGGTCCGGCTCCATTTTGCATTGTGTCCAGTTATCCAGTTAATTCATAGATCTTCAACACATGGCATCTATAGTTTTCAAAGGTCATGATTAATAGTGATAAAATCATTTTTTTAAATAAAACATATAGATTTTCATTTGTAATTAAAAAAGAAAAACCTTTTTAACCGGATTGTTTCTTCTTCCCATCACCTCCGCTGATGAGCCGCCATTAAGATCCACCGCTCCACCGCTGTTCTATTGCAATTTTATCACAACCCTTTTTTTTCGTTGGGTATTTTAATATTTGTTGATTTTTTCATCACATCCCATTTTTATTCTGATTGGGGAAGAAAAGATATGATGGAAGATAGAGAGAATACAGTAAAAGCTTGAGGGCAAGAAGACGGAGGAGCGAAGAGCGCAAGAGGAAAAACGAATGTTCAAAAATAAGAAGTGTTGGGTTTTTTTAGTTTTACAGGTGGGAGAAGATGAATGAAAAATGGGTTCTGCAAGAGAAAAGAAAAGTAATGCGAAAGAGATGATGAATAGTAAAACTTGTTTTTTTTTTAAATCTGATATTCAAATATTAAATAATAGCCATTGAAGTTTTATTTGCCACGTGTCGCATATCTGTTAAGGAACAGGACAGAAACTGGATAATTAAAACTGGAGCAGATCCTAACTCTACATAGATAGTTGAATGCATCTTAAATGAACAATTTGTCTTGTGTACATAATCTTCAATATATACATAATCTTCAATACAATTCATCTTGTAAACACAAATTCACGGGGAAGTCAATATATGTCTCTGGTAAATTAATCATCATTTGGAAACTCAGTAGCACGTGTATTCTTATCACGCAGGAGACATAACTCGTAAGATGTCAATCTAATGATCTTTCAGAGCAGCCAACTTTTCATGATAAAATTTTACCCATTAATATCATGGCTTGAAATTTCCAAACAGAAAACTTAACACAGAAATTAAGCAGTCCCAAAAGAAGTAAAACTAACACACTTGATCGCACACTCAATTTAAGAAAGAAAGGATGTAATTGAGATAAACAATAACCTGCATGGAGAAGTTAAATGTCATAAACTCCACAACAGGCTTCAGACCATAGTAAGCAGCACCAACTCCGATTCCAGTAAACCCAGCCTGCATTATATTTAATGAACATTATATATGAGCAAATCACACCATACAAAGAGCTGCAACCATGTATAAATCCTGTTTTTTCCTAGGAACTGTGTCAAATTTTTCATACAAAATCCACCCATTGGTTTAACTTTGAAAGATGGAAATAAATCGGGAAATAGTGCAACAAAAATTGAGATACTAAAGTATCAATTTTAAGTTGCCGCTTAAGACCTAATAAGCCATTATTACAAAATATAACTTAGCAGAAGCTCGCATAAGGAAGACAATACAAATGCCCCCACACCCCACAATGTTATCGATGGCGGACCATGGCAGAGAGCCAAGATTCCGAAATATGGCTCCGCCATCCCCATATCCGCCATGGTTGATATATGACAACACTTGACCCCATGCCATCATATTACCAAATTTTGAATTTGTTGATTTTTATTAGATGGTTTCACTATCCGCTAGAGCAATAAAATTTGTACCAATTGACAAACACTAATAAATAAACCTTAAAGCAACAACGGGATTAACATGTTTAAACATTGAAAGAGACACACAATAGCAACATTAACAGCTCGAAAAATGAACAGCTCGAAAAGTATAAAAGTGAATGTAAGAAAAATGACCTCGGTGATGGGAGTGTCGAGAACCCTTTCAGGACCATACTTCTCTAGCAGACCCTTGGTAATCTAAAACAAAAGAACAAACAAAATCAATGATTCAAAACAAAATAAACCCACGTCCAACCAAAAAAAATTAGTGCAAAACACGTAACTAACCTTATAAGCACCTTGATATTCTCCAACCTATAATCAAACACATAAGAAAATGAGAAAAAAAATAATTTTTCAATATATAGAGAAGTTGAATCGGGTAGGTAGGTAGGTACCTCTTCACCCATCAAGAAAACTTTAGAATCAGCAGACATTTCTTCATCAAGTGCAGAATTAAGAGCGTCTCTCACTGTCATCTATAAAATAAAAATACAAAATATAATTTCAAATTGAGAAAAATGGAATAAAAGTTTAAGAATCAAGCAAAAACCTGTTTAGCTGAAGAAGAGAAAAATCTGAATGTGGAAAAGGAAGGGCGAATAGACTGAAAATGAAAAGAAGAAAAAAAAGTTAATTTGTGAAATGAAAAACACAGAAAAATCAAAATAAGATAGTGAAAAATTACCTTGTTTCTTATAACACCCAACATGTTTGATTGATTTTGTAGAACAAGTTGAAGCTAATCAGAAAAATTAATAAAATTAATCAGCGACACGGATGAAACCCTAGAAAAAGGGAAATTTGATTTTGTAGAACAAGTTGAAGCTAATGAGAAAATTCAGAAATCAGCGACGGATGAAACCCTAGAAAAAGGGAGATCCGGAAGAAAGAAAGGGTTACCTGGATGGATCAGGATTTGAATAGTTACTCACGCAAGAACCAAATTACGACAATATGCTATGAGTGTTTGTTCTGCTTTCGGGGCAGACTCGCGGAATAAAGACTTAGTCTCTCTTTTTATATATATCAAAAATATATTCTCTTTATATACAAATATCTTCTTAATGTGGAATGCATATGTTTATGTAAAAGAATATTAATTGTATTTCATTATAAAAAATTGTATTATGAAAAAAAAATTATTTCTGTATTAGGAAAGAAACGAACGCCAATGCGCTACCAACCACTCGCCACTTGGGCCTCCTACGAGTTGTTGTCCTTCCTACGAGAATTTATACCCCAAATTATATATATGACATCCTTCATATTTTATTATTTTTAAAATGTCTCTTATATTTATTTACTTTTAAAAAAAATTATTTATCAAAAAAATTTACTATCGGTCAAAGCGTTAAATTCTAAATTTCCAGTACACTTAATAAATTTTTGGTGCCAAATTTTGGCGTATATCATAAATTCTTTGTATTATCTAAATTTCTGATTATGAATAATCGGAAATTTCAAAATTTTCGGTACAATTTCCAAAAACAATTACATAAACTAGAAATTACGTAAATTTTCGGTAGGTGACATAAAACTTAAAATTTGAAATTTCTGAAATACCAAAAATTTCATCTATACCTGCAATTTCTAGTATGTCTACAGATGAAATTCTATGTCTTTGCAGTCCAGAGCCGACAACTTTAACTTCTTCTACGGGTTCATATATTGATGTTACGCAATTCTTCACCACAAATATTGTATGTTTCCTATTGAATTTACACATTTTTATTTGTTTTTCGACCTTAAATAAATTGATGAAGTTTACTAATTGTATGTTATTGTAATTGGCAGATTTTTAAATCCCGATCTAAAGTTTTAGATTGGGCAGTCTATTGGTAAAAATTATGGTATTGTTGTTGTTATAATTCGTTCTGATTTTGCTAATGGAACTCGAGGGAGGTGAAAGAACAAGATTAGTTCTGACCTATCCCAAGTGTTTTGATGATAACTAAATTATATTTAAGATAATTTATGCTCTAATGAATGTGTTTTGAATGTCTTAGTTAATGTTCTGACAAGAAACATTCCAAAGTACTAAGCAAAGATTATGAAGAAGTTCTTTGATAAAAGAACCTTTTATTCAAACGCATCTGCTGACTCTGGTAAGAACCTTTATTTTTTAAATGTATCTTCTAACTTCCAGCAGGCTTCTTGATTCTGAAGATAACTTGAAAGCAAGCGCTGTTCAAAGTTCTTAGCAAGCAACGCTCTGACCAGAAGTTGAATGAAGCATGTTCTGAGTTAAAGCAAATACTGAAACAACGTCTTAATCAACGTGTCTTGTCAAAACAAAGGAAACACGTTCTTACATTCTGACGTTTGCTAATTAATGCAAAGACGGCTGAAAGCACTCAAGTGCCTACAACTAGTTTCTTGGAGAATGAAATTTTGCAAGGATACACGCAAAGCATTTAATGCTCTTCATTTCCTCTGAAGGCAGCAACAGTCTTATTATTCCTTCTATAAGTAGAAGAACATTTATTGTAAGCCGAGAAGAACGTTCAAACAAGAAACTACGTGAAAAATTCAAAAGTTAACAAACTCATAGTTCATACATTTTGTGTATTATATTCTAAGTGAAAAATCACAGTTGTGATATAGCTTGATTAGAAGCAAACTCTATTTCAATTATCTGTTAAGATTATACTTCTGTAATTGATCCTTGAGAGACCAAGTTTGGTCAGATTTCTCAAGAAGATTAGGACTAGATTTAAGTCTTAGTGTTGTTAGTCACTTGTAAGATTACTTGTGCATTGTTAGTCACAACAGTTGTTGTGTGATTGTAATCAGTTGATTATAGTGGATTAAGTCCTTTTTGAGAAAGGCGAAATCACCTTGGCGGATGGACTGGAGTAGTTTGAGTTCAAACGTACTAGGATAAAAATAACTCTGTTTTTCATTATTGTTTGAGCTTTGTTTTGAAAAAGAAAAGAGTCACTTATTCAACCCCCCCCCCCCTTCTAAGTGTTTTCTTACCCCTTCAATTGGTATCAGAGCTTGACTCTGAGCTCAACACTTAACCGTGTCAGGAAAAGATCCAGAAGAAAACACAATGGCCGCTGAACAAAACAATAATAGTTATAACAAACCTCCAGTATTTGATGGAGAAGATTTTGAGTACTGGAAAGATAGACTAGAAAGTTTCTTTCTAGATCATGATAGTGATCTTTGGGATATTGTCTTGGATGGTTACAAACATCCTACAGATTCTGAAGGAAACAAAGTGGATAGAAAAAATATGGATAGACAACAAAAAGCTGATTTTAAAAATCATCACAGAGCTAGAAATATTTTTTAAAATGTTATCTCTAAAGTTGAATATGAAAAAATCACTAATAGAGATACAACGCATGATATGTTTGAATCTCTCAAAATTACTCATGAAGGAAACGCTCAAGTTAAGGAGTCTAAAGCTCTGGCTTTAGTTTAGAAGTATGAAGCCTTCAAAGTTGAAGAGAGTGAGTCTATAGAAGCAATGTTCTCTAGATTCCAAACTATGATCGCTGGTCTGAGAGTTTTGAACAAAGGGTATACCAAAGCAGATCATGTGAAAAAGATCATCCGAAGCTTACCCAGAAGATGGGCACCAATGGTCACTGCCTTCAAGGTGTCAAAAGATATTAACAATGTGTCTTTGGAGGAAATCATCAGCGCTCTCAGAAGTCATGAGATTGAACTGGATGAACATGAGCCTCAGAAGAAAGGTAAGTCTCTAGCCCTCAAATCAATTAAGAAATTTGATACTAACGCTTTTCAGGCTGAAGAAGAAGACTCGGAAGAAGACGAACTATCTTTTCTCTCCAAAAGGATCAATCATCTGTGGAAGCACAGGCAAAAGAAGTTCAGGAACTTCAAAAAGTCAGAAGATAAACTAGAATCTTCTGGACACAAAAAGTCAAACAGAAGAGAGATTATATGTTATGAATGCAAAGAACCCGGTCACTTCAAAAGTGATTGTCCAAAGCTTCAAAAAGAAAGACCAAAGAAGAGATTTGGAAAGAAGAAAGGAATGATGGCCACCTGGGATGACTCAGATTCTTCTGAAAATGAATCTGGTTCTGAAGATGAAAATGCCAACCTAGCCTTAATGGCTATCACAGAAAATGACTCAGACTGCGAGTCAGAACCAAGAGAGGTATTTTCTGAATTTTCTAGAGAAGAACTTGTTGATAGTTTATCAGAACTTCTGGAAAACTATAGTAAGCTCAAAATCAAATACAAGAAACTCAAGAAGAGTCTTGCATCTGATTTTAAGAAACTTGAAACAGAAAAATATGAACTTTTAGAAAACAATCTTAAACTTGAAAATGAAATTGTTCAAAAGAATTTTAGTTCAGAGTCTGTGTCTGGTTCAAAATATATTCTGAAAGAATATGACTATAGCTTTCAATCTTTTCTTGCTAAAAGCATAGACAGAAGCAAAATGGCTTCAATGATCTATGGAGTTAGTGGGAAAAATAGAAGAGGAATTGGATATGAACCTCCCAAAGGGAATGAGACATACATTCCAAAACCTATTGCCAAGATGACCTTCACTTACAAACCTATGAATAAGCAATTCAAGTTTGGACACTCACATGATATAAAATATACATCACATTCTGGAAACTCTTATGTTAACCCAAAAGGACCCAAAAAGATATGGGTACCTAAGGATAAAATAATATTTGTTACAGATGTCCTTAACAGCTCAATTGAAACACCAGTCATGGTACTTGGACTCTGGGTGCTCACGACACATGACGGGAAAAAGGTCTATGTTCCAAAACCTGGAACTTAAAGTTGGAGGAGATGTGAAGTTTGGAGGTAATCAGAAAGGGGAGATTATTGGTTCTGGAACCATAGAAAACGGTAACCTTCCTTCTATCTCTAATGTTTTATTAGTAGAAGGATTAGCTCATAATCTATTGTCCATAAGTCAATTAAGTGACAATGGCTATGACATTATCTTCAATCAAAACTCCTGTAAAGCTGTATATCAAAAGGATGGATCAATCCTCTTTTCTGGCAAGAGAAAGAACAACATTTACAAAATTGATTTATCATATCTTAAATCTCAAAACGTAAAATGCCTTTTGACTGTTTGCAATGAGAAATGGGTATGGCACAGAAGATTGGGACATGTCAGTCTTAGAAAAATCTCTCAATTAAATAAATTAAATTTAGTCAGAGGACTTCCTAATCTGAAGTACAACTCAGATGCTATGTGTGAAGCATGTCAAAAAGGAAAATTTTCAAAACCTTCCTTTAAATCTAAAAATGTTGTCTCTTCCTCTAAGCCATTAGAGTTACTTCATATTGATCTGTTTGGGCCAGTTAAAACTGCATCCATCAGAGGCAAGAAGTATGGATTGGTCATTGTTGATGATTTCAGCAGATGGACATGGGTAAAGTTTTTAAAACACAAGGATGAGTCACATTCTGTATTCATTGACTTATGTACTCAAGTGCAAAATGAAAAGGATTTTAAAATCACAAAAGTTAGAAGTGATCATGGTGGTGAATTTGAAAATCATTATTTTGAAAAATATTTTAAAGAAAATGGTATTGTTCATAATTTTTCTTGTCCTAGAACTCCCCAGCAAAATGGAGTTGTAGAAAGAAAGAATAGAACATTACAAGAGATGGCCAGAACCATGATCAATGAAACAAATATGGCTAAGCACTTTTGGGCAGAAGCTGTGAATACAACGTGTTATATTCAGA